CCAGGGCAATTGGGTCATAATAGTGGAGTCACCAGGGCAATTGGGTCCAAACACTATAACCTCAGTTTTCTTCTGGTTAAAATGTAAAAAGTTTGATGTCGTCTAACCCGCTCAATAAAGATTTTACTAAAAAAACAATCTCCCTGCTTGAGGGGCAAATAGATATCGCAGTCATCAGCATAAAAATGGAAATCAAGATTGGAACCAAGTAGTGGCAAATACAGAGAAAAGACTGAGCCTTGTGGGTCACCATAGGATAGAGAGGCACTAGATGAGTCAGCGTTGGAAATTTTAACACAAAGATCGGTAGGTCACAATCTATTTTAAATCCTGACTTTTGCACTTAACGTTTTATTGAAAAAGGAATTCTGGAAAGATATTATCTAGTGTTTTTATCTGAAGGGTTTATTGTAAAGTTCAACTCTGTCTACGTGGAATTCAGCTCATCAGAGAAGCAGACTGACGCTAGGAGAGTCTTTGCCCAATCGGAGCATAGATTACCCTTTCCTCTGCAAGGAGGAGTTAATTACAGTTTGTCTGAAACTCTAACTTTGCCAGGGGGCGGGCAGTGGAGGTATGAATATCTCTGGAGGTCATATATAAGTATAACAGGAACTGGAGGCAAAGTTAATACTATCTATTGATTGACTTTATTGATCTCACAGTGGAGAAATTTACTCGTTACATCAGCTCATAGATATATACAGTGCGTCCACATATGACGGCTTTTCTTTTTACCTAGGATTATTATACTGGGTTATTTACATAGGTATTTATATGGATGGACATTTATATGAAGGTCTGATGTGTGTTATAAACAGGTTAACTATGTGTAGATCATTTCATAAATGTCTATGCATTGTTTGGCCACCGTACTGACTTAGCGTGGGCCAATCAGAATGCTTATCTGCTCGGTGACGCTCCTTACTATCTATATGTGTGAGCAGCCTTTACGGCAGTGCAATAAAGCTACAGTAACAGTGAACTCTCTCGCGTCATGCTTAGCTCGGAAAAAAAAACTTTTACACTATGTATAATAAAAAATAAAATCAGTAAATGATAACAGACAGAATAATTTGATCAGAACCTCTTCTGTAATTTGTTTCTGGTTTTATTTAGATTGTACAAACATAAAACTGCAGCATGTTAAGACGTCCTGCTGTTAAAACATTCTGTTCAAAAGGACATTTCCTCACATCTATCCTCAGACATCATCCTGCCATCAACTTCTTCTTTTTGTCTAATCTCCTTCCAGTTAACCTTCCCCAAAGTGAAGCTCCTGCTGATGTCCAGCAACCAGGACGACTTTAATGACTGGTACCAGTGCCTGAGCTCAGCCATTAGGTATGTCACTGCTGCTTATGAGTCATTGGGCCTCATGCATCAACATTTTCTGGCTGTAAATGTCTCTTCCTTTCTGTCCTCCTGTTGGCTATGATCCTCCGCAGTTAGCCTAGCTAGCCTCGGTCAGCTGTAGCCTATCCCAGCCCAGCTTCTGTATGTTATCTGAACTTCCCATTGATCCGTACAGGTCTAGATTCTTTTAAAAATGAGATCATTGGCAGCTGATTGCATCGACTCATTGATCCTTCACCAACCCCTTACACTAAGCATGCTTGTAGCGACAGTAGAGAGGAAAAACTCCCTTTTTGAAGTGGAAGAAACCTCCAGCAGAACCAGGCTCAGTGTGAGCGGCCATCTGCTGAGGCCGACTGGGGTTCAAGGAGACAGAAGCAGA